AACACCTGCCCCATCTTACAAATGGACATCATGTTTCCATAACACAAATAAAAACCGGTCACAAAACTGAAAATAACCCAGACAGGAGACACACAACCCCCAAATATTTTACAGATACATCTGTGAGTGACTCATTCTGAGAGAGAAACTGAGTATCCACTGCAAGGTTCTGTGGACAGAGAGGCACAGCCTGAAATATGTGAACTTTGACACCCGCTGGTGTAACAATTATTTAATTGTAGCCCTAAAAATAATTGTCCAATAAAATGATGGGCCTCCATTGCAGCTGTTGTGGCCATCAGGAAATAGGTGATTTGACTGGCAATCTCACATACCAGTGGTCAGATCAAAAAGATTTGGAAGGAAAGTGGAAACAATCAGGGATCATTTCTTCCCCCCCTCCACCTCACCGTCCCTCCAAGAACAGATTGTTTCCTATTCAGTGTTGACTTCACTAACAAAAGGACTTGGAAACAAGATTTTCTGTTCCTCCCTGATATGAAAACACTCTTGCCTTGAAAGCAGACCTGAGCTTTTTCACAATGATGTTTCCTTAGCAATGCAATGAATACTGTGCTGTGTTCGGAGGTGGGGAGGGAGAGAAGCTAAACTATAAATCATCAGAATCTAACACAACTCAGCGTGGGATTATTACAGATTGTGTGAAAGCACAGGGCAATTCCCCTATGGTAGTTAGTCCAGGGCACTTGTCTCCTCTTAAAAAAATACTAAAATAAAAACAATACTATGAGATTTTGAGAAATTAGCTTAAAAAATTCAGCAGAGAAACACATTGTTTGTAGATTATCAGCAAATGCATGAGCTGGTTTGGTTTTGAAAAGTGTTAAGATATTTACAGGACAGTCAAAGGGTATGTTAAATTAAATAAAATAAATTTTAAAAAAAAAGAAAAGATATAGAGGAGATAGAAACATGCCATGCTAGATACAGCTATGGACAGTCTGGGTAAGGAGAAGATATCCCCAGAGACAGGTTCTCCCATTAACAGGCACCTTCTAACTCCATGGTCCTGAGCACTGTTAGAGACTTCCAGAACCATGGAATCCCAGAAGGGTTTGGGTTGGAAGGGACCTGTTCCAACTCCCTGCCATGGGCAGGGACACCTTCCATTATCCCAGGTTGCTCCAAGCCCCTCCAACCTGGCCTTGAACCCTTCCAGGGATGGGGCAGCCACAGCTTCTCTGGGCAACCTGTGCCAGGGCCTCATCGCCCTCTGTGTAAAGAATTTCTTCCTCACATCTAATCTAAATCTCTCATCTTTTGCCTTAAAACTGTTCCCCTTTGTCCCATGCTATTTGCAAATGACCTAGATCACCGATTTATTCCTTTATCACAGTGTCCTCAGTGCTCACTGTCCTCCAGCAACAGACTTAAACAAGTGACTTGGAGAAATGTCTAACCCCAGGGAGCCTGATGTAACCAATCTCCAAGCAACAAACCACTTTAAAGTAAATGTTTAACAATGTGTAATGTACCAGAATGTATTTTCAGTGTACTTCAACATGTAGTTGGTCCAAAACATTTGGTCACAGCTACTTTAAAAGATTACTCTCTGTGCAACCAGTTCAAATGTTTAACCACTTCAAAACCAAGCAAATATTCTTATTTCTCCAAGATTATTTTTGCCACGTGTCTAACACATTCAATATCAATCCACTTCCTAGTGGTCAAGGGTTAATAATGTGAGATCTGCTTCCTTTGTCAGATCCGTAAACGTGAAAATTAAAAGGACAGAAAACCAGCTGTTTGATCACTTTAATTTACACAATTTCTGATGAATCAGTGCAACCAAGTTTGTGTTGCAACAGCTTAATAATTATTTCAGTCTAGTTTAAACATATTTAAAACCACAGTCAACAAAGAGTTTCTTCATGCTTGCAGCTGTTAAATTAAACAAGCATGGATGTACATTTTCAGATAACAATGGAGACACTGGGATAAAAAAAATCAGGGAGAGGAAGGATGGACCACTGGCTTCAGCACTGGTTTCAACTGAAAAGAAATAAAAGTCCCTGGTTCACCACAGCAACTTATCCCTGCACTGCCTTGTACAAGCCATTATGTGTGTTCCTCAGCTCTCCATGTGGGAAAATACCAAATATTAATTTCCCTATCATTATAGGAATAGATGAAGCTGAAATATATTGCCATTTATGAGACATTGCAGCATCACCAGGATGGAGTGTTAAAAGCCAAGAGGAGCAGTGCTGTGTAAGGGGACAGAGAGAAGCAGCTTGAACTGCTGGTGTTAATACCTGTCCAGTGGAAACCACCTGCATTCATGGTTAAACTAAATTTGACTTAAAAGAATAAAATACATACTTTACAAGTTAACTTTTTCATAGGCAAGTGGCTATTTGCCATGATTTTTGTTCAATTTGTTAAAGATTGCAAAGAAGAGTAAACACATGGCTTGAATTAAATCCAGTTCTCAGAACAGGGATGCTAATAATTTCCTTGTAGGAATTGCCTGTAAATTTTGGATTTTGAACATACTGTCTGAAATTATTTCAGATTTATTACAGAAAACCCTCAGAATCCACATAAACATCCCAGAGAAGAATTAACAGTGTAACTGCACCTCCAATTTGGGTGAGCTGTCCTGGGGATGCAGGACGGAATCCTTGGTGTGGTCTGTTCCCAGAGCTCTGAGCAGCTGGATGGTCCAGATAAAGGGAATGTCCCATCAGGATTCTCTCTTCTGCTGTGGTCAGCCTCGGTCTTTGACCTTCACTGAGCTCCCCAACACTGCCATCAGAGTCCTACAGAGGACACCAACATCAGAACAGCAGGTATAAAAAAACCCCAGTGTGTATCTTCCAAACCCAGGCATTGTTTCCTAATTACATCAACCCTTAAAACACATATAAACTTAAGTCTATTTGTGTTGAATAAAGAAAACAAACCCAGGAGATACCATCTGGGTTTGAAATTAAGATCTGCATTTATCAGTACTGGACAGAAGAAGGTCACTTGCAGCCAAACACCATTTATTTTGTTAGTCATATCCCAACATGATCAAAACCTAAGTTATATTTTTAGCACATGAAGCCTTTAATGTTATAGATTTGGCCATGCTGACTGCCTGACCTTGAAACACTGGCAGCATCTAAAAGCTATTGACTCTCTGCTGTACTGCATGTCAGATAAAAGGTTCAATTTTTGAGCAGGTTTGGAGGGCACTTAAGATAGGGATGGTTCTCTGGATCCTGACTTTCAAAGCTGCATGGAAAAAAACAACTTGCTTCCATGCAGGAAAACAGGTTGAACATACACAGGTGTGCACAGTATCATTCCAAGGCAATATTAGTAACACAGGGGAGAATATTGTTTCTCTCATAAAGGAGAAGGGACCCCTGCACACACCTTGCCAGAATCTGGGGGGAGTTTATTAGTGCCTTGCATGGACAGACTGAGTGGTCCATGACTATGGGAAAGGGGAAAAGCAAATTAGAGATGCATTTGTAATTGGCAGTGCTGATGAGAAAATGTCACTGCAATTACAGCCAGACTCGGAGCTGACACTGTAGAAAGCTTTTCACCAAGTCCATCCACCAGAGCTCATTAGTAAAATAAAGAAAGACAAAGGAGCAGTTAAGGAAGTGAGTCAAGTCAGTAATTATTTAGACTAAACTGACCAAGACAGAAGGAAGAAACTGCATATGCATCAGGAAAAGCACAAAAAGCAAGAGCTGCTGTAAATAAAGGTGTTCATGGACCATACTGCAGTATTCAGAGTTCACTTCCTTCCAACATTCCTCCAGCTATGCAGTCAGAATAAACACCCAGTCCAAATTACTGTTTTCCACACAGAAAGGAGTTAGATGTATAACAAAAAAAACCTGTGATGCAGACAGTTCTATTTTTCTGTCCTTTTTTTTTTATTATGCCAACTGAACAGGAATATTTTGAGGTTCTGTTACAAGACCAGCATCAACACCATGTGCAAAGTGCATTTAAACAGTTGGTGAGCTCTTCTTCATACCTCCCTAAAACACTCCAATGGCTGTTAAGTGCAGAGTCCTTGTACTGTCAAACATTCCACCTATGCTGCTGAAGTGACAGGAAATTCCCTGGCACTCAGTGTGACAGGACAAATGTGATAAAAAAATGGGAATAGTTACATACATACCTTGAAAACTTGGTACATGTGGTGGTGTGTACAGTTTGTTTACAATAATATTTCAGTGTTTTTAAAAGGTTTTACACAAGAAGGCGGCCAACAGAAGTTGGATCATTTCCAGCAGGGAATGAAGTGTATGAACCTGTTCTACAGCCAACAGGAAGGATAATCTTGCAATATTTTATCTGCTTGTGAGTAGGAAAGCACCACCTCAAAACTACTGCACTGGAAAGCAAAGGACAATAAGTTACCTCCAAATGGTCTATTCCTTCTTGTGGAGAAACAGGTGCTTGATTTAATTTGGCTAAAAGAGTCAGGACAGGATCCCTGAGAAATCCTTTATCCAACCTCCTCACAACTTGCCCTTCACTTGGAGGATCATAATCCTAAAACAAAGAAATAAAACCCACATAATACATGATCCAAAACTGGTTTTTGTAGGAACTTGGATCATTCTTACTTTAGTTCAAAACTAAGCTTTTTTTTTTTTTTTAACAGGAAGATGTTACAGTTGTAACTGAAAAATTGTGCCATGAAAATTCAGGCATTTAAAAAATAAGCAAACATATGACACACTGCTTTCTCCTTTTACCACAGACACGCACAGTCTTTATCTGATGCAAAAGACTGCAATATTTAGGGAAGAACAAGGTCCTTTAGTCCTCCAAATATCAGGGACACAGTTAAATCCTCACACACACCAGTTGCTAGCAATGATCTGGCTGCAGAGCTGCTCTCACCAAGCAATTAAGTTCCTCCACCAAACAGATGATGGAGGACTCTTGGGAGGATCCAGGGGATAAAGAGAGGGAAGAACATTTTAGCAAACAAATGTTATTCTGATGGAGAGAACTGTAAGTTCACCTGATAATGAAGAGTCTTAAGCCCAGAGTTTAAGAGAGGAAGTGTGGCAGACAGAGGAGGCTTTAAAAGTCTGCAAGTTCTGGGCACAGTCTCACAATTACAGTTGGGTTTTTTTGGGGTGTCCTGTGCTGAGGGAGTTGGACTTAATGATCCTTGTGGGTCCCTTCCAACTCAGGATATTCTCTGATTCTATGGCGTGAATGAAAACACAGATATTAAATGGGAAAACATGCACAGGCAGAGTATGGCCATGTATGTGTAGAAATGTTTAGGAAGGAGAGGCAGGGAGAAGAGAGGTGGACTCCTACTTTAGGACATTAAATTTGCCTTATGGAGCTTGGAAGGGACCTCTGGAGATTGTCTGGTCCATCCCAGCTGCTCAAGGCAGTTCTTTCAGCTGGGTTACCCCCAAAGTAAAAACATTTTTCATATTTAAAAAGAATTTTCTGAATTTCAACCTGTATCCACTGCCTCCTGTCTTTCACCAGGCACCAGGCAGAAGAGTCTGGCTCTGTCTTCCTTCCCTCTCTTCACCAGGTATTTATACACACTGGTAAGATCCCCTCAGAGCTTTCTCTCCTCCAGGCTGAGCCATCTGAGCTCTCTCAGTGTGACAGATGCACCAATCCCTGAATCATTTTTGCAGAGCTTTGCTGGACTCACTCCATTAAATCCTTATCTTTCTTATACTGGAGAGCCCATGACTGGACACAATACTCCAAATGCTGTCTCACCAGTCCTGAGGAAAGAGGAAGGACCTCCCTGGATCTGCTGGGAATGCTCTTCCCAGTGCAGCAAAGGATGGTGGTGGCCTTCTCTGCCTCAATGGCTGAGCCATTCACCTTGTCCACCAGGATTCCCAGATTGTTCCCCCAAAGCTGCTTCCCAACCAGTCAGCCCCCAAAATGTCCTGGTGCATGGAGCTGTTTCTCCTTGGGAGCAGGATATGGCATTTCTCCTTGTTGAACTTAATTGTTAACTATCATTTATATCACAGCTCTGTCCTACCAAGGAAAGTCTGAGAGGGAAATCAAAGCATTTGAGGGAAAGTGTTAAAATAGAAAGAGAATGGAGAACATCTTGACCTAGAGGCTTAGCTTTAACTCCAGCCTCAGCAAACCCACTTGAATAATTTAATCACACAAGCAACTAAAAGATGGCTCAAAGCTGGAACAGCTCAGAGCATAACAATGTTCTATTCTGTTTAAGATGTCTTAAAACTAAAAACAGTAAAGAAACAAAAATGTGTATTAGCTATCTCTCACCTAAAGAAGTACATAAATCCAACTTTTTAAAATTTAAATTAGTTTGTATAATGTCAACTTTTTGTCTTTGATGTTCTGAAATTCTAACACTGTTTTTGAGTGTACAGCTTGGAAGTGCAAATTTAAGGAGCTGGTAAGTGAAAATGTTTAAAGCACATCCAGTGAATAAAGATGCCCAAGGTGGAATCCACATTAACTCTGTTTCCTCAGGAAACATTTCCTTACCATCTCATTGGCATCTCGTAAAGTGCTGGATAAGCTCTCAGTGAGGTTTGGAAGAGACAGTCCTCCTTCTGCTAAGAATGAAAAATATTTTGTGTTACAACTATTAAAAAAACATGAATGTTTTTACATGGAAAAAACAAGACCACATTCTTTAATAATTACAACACTGTGCTTCAGTAAATTTGGAAATTCCTACTGCTGGGTGTGTTATAAAGACATATTTTCATATTTCTTACACTTTGCTTTCAGTAAGAACTTAGTACCACATGGTACTTAAGCATGACAAGTCTCAATTATTTTCCAAGTTGATCTCATGACAAAAGAGCAGATTGAACCTTTTTTTTTCATTGATAAACAGCAGCATTTTGTTCAGAAACAAAAAAAAGAACAACAAACTCTCTTCAGTCTTCATGAACTGAAAGTTAAGGGCCAGGTTAATGCTTGCAGCTTTATCAGAAAATGTATGAAATATAACTTCAGGAGACTGGAAGAGTTTATAAAGAATAAAATTAATTCAAATTCTAATTTCCAGAGATGTATCCGGTTGGTTACCTCCTGCAGCCAGCATCTGTCCACAGCTGAAGAGCACCTCCCCTTCTGAGATGGGTCTGTCTGTAGTTTCAGTTTCTGTGGGGGTGATGCTGCTTTCCTGTGTGGACACTCCAGAACTAACTGTAGGTGCAGGGGATGGAACCTGGAGGTTGCTTGGAAGTGACTCCGGGGGCCTCGCTGAGGGCTGTGGGGATGGTAAAATCAAGGCCTCTGGTTCCTCATCATTAGCCACTGACATCTCACTGCAAGGTGAGGACATGCACTACATGAATACACCAAACCACTCTGAACAATACAGACTGAAGTCCTAATTCAATACTGACAAGAAATTAATTCCCAAGTATTTTTTTCAAATGAAGGAACACAGCATTTCACAGAATAGCCTGAGAACCGACATGGCTGAATAACATTATTAACAAATTTCTGGCTCTAACTAAAAATTACCAGGTGTATTCCCAATGAGGTAAGAGAAAAAATAAATGCTAATAACACAATATTTCATTGTCACTACATGTATTACTGGCAGGTGTAGCAATACAAGTTTACTATGGACTGCATTCAGCAGGACAATGAATAAGGACTGATAAACCCCGAGAAAGGTTCTGATTCCACATTTTTTTCTCCAAAACACCATACAAGCAATTAAAAAAGAAAATAGAATTCTGGCTTATCTCATTGCCTCCTGACACACAGATAAAGCATTTCTTTCTACTGGCTTTTTGAGGATACATGTAGAAAGAATATACATATTCATGTTTTTTAGAAAACTGTGCAGCCTGTTCAACTCACATGGCCTTGGGACGGAAGGGTTCCTCAGCTAAAGGACTGGGTTTTTCTTCTTCCAGAGGAAGTTCAGCACCATCCCACGGGTTTGGAGCCTTTGGACTTTCCATTTTGGCTGCGTGGGAGCCCCCCTCTGAGGCAGGAGGGCTGGGTGTGGTTGCTGTGGGTGTATTGACAGGGGTAACCACGGGTGTGCCAACACGGCCCGTGGCTGCTGGAATCCCAACTCCTGCAGGTGTGAAGCCAAATTCCAGATCAGAAAGGAAAGCAGGAAGCAAATCTCAGATCTAGGCAGTTCTACCAAGCACTTGCAGTTTTTGTGATACCTTTTGATAGCTATGGAGACAAGACTAGATTAAGAATAGCTTCTTTTAATTACAGTGTTGGCACCTGAAGAATTTAGAGTAAAACCTCAATTTCTTACTGCCTTTAATAAGGGAGACTGCTCTGCATTTTAAAAACACTCTCCATTTACTTGAAAAGTGTGCATTTGACTTAATTAACATTAGAAACGCAGGAAAGAGCAAAAGACAACTATTTTTCTGATGTGAAAAATTGTGGAGGGGTTGGGAGGGGTGGAAATGACACAGACCACAGAAATCTGTATTAAGTTTGAAAATAGAACTGTTACCAAATAAAAAATGTTTGCTTTTTATATCAATTAGCCCATATTTTTTGTACTACATGAGTTCCCACTTGTATTGTAGCCTCAAGAATATTTATCCTGAGAGATAACACGTCTTTGAAGAGGAAAATTAAAGGCAGTAGATTAAAGCATATTTGCTGCTTCTAAACTTCAATTATTATTTTCAATACCTGTTTCTTTAGGTTTTTCACTCTCATGAACATCCCTGCTCATTTCTGTGGGAGATGGAGATGACTCTGGAGTTTTGACTGGGGGCAGTTCCTTTTCTGAAGGTGGTGTTGGTGGTGGTGTGGCCTGGGGGGTTGGCAGTGGCGTAGGCACAGGAGACTCCTGAGGGGAAGAAAAATCATAACCACACAGTTGTTATCTCCAGGCAGAATTCCTGCCTTCCAAGTATCCCCAGAGAGAGCTGAGGAAGAGAGAGAAAGGCAGGTTTTCACAGAACAGGAACAGTTGTTGCTTAGATACATCTTCACGGATCTAACTCCTCCATCTAAACAGAAAGGTGAGCTGGGTTAAATAGTGTGACTGGAGAAAATAAATTAAAACCTTTACAAATTAAATTAAAATCATTAGAATGATTACACTGGGAAATCATTATGTATGGAATAGAACAGACTATTTCAGCTGGGAGGGACCTACAGTGATCATCTGGCCCAACTGCCAGAGCACTCCAGGGCTGACCAAAATTTAAAGTATGTTGTTAAGGGCATTGTCCAAAAGCCTCAGAAGCACTGACAGGTCTGGGGTATCAACCACCTCTCTAGGAAGCCTGTCCCAGGGTTTGACCACCCTCTTGGTAAAGAAATGCTTCCTAATGTCCAGTCTGAATATGAACTATATTATCCTATGAAGTTTAATAAAGCATTGGATACAATGCTAAGCAAGAAAATATTTCGTGACATGGATAAAATTGAGTGATAAGGCAATTTTATGGTAAGAAAAATCAGCTAAAAGGAAGATTACAAACAAAGGAACAGACAAGACAGGAAAGCACCAAATAAGCACAAATGTAATCGTGATGTTCCTTTTAAAGATGACAGCAGTGTACATAAATCTGACGAGTATGATGGTTGTCATTTAAGCTGCTATGGAGGAATATGATGGACCTTTCCAGAATTTTTCCAGCTTTGTTCTCTGACATTTCATAAAGAAAACAAGACAATGAGGTTATAGGAAGACTTCCAGTATAGTTTCTGAAGAATAAGTCCTCAGATTTTTATTAGAATCTCTTATGGAAAGTAGAACATGCCAACACATTTGGCAGCTCACATTGTGACACCAAAGAATTAAGGAACAGTTGCAGTTCTAGATAGGAAACTTCACAGTGGGAAGGGACAGATCAAGATGCATCAACTACATATTCAAAAACTTCTGCTATAAGCTGAGCACAAATGGAAAAAGAAGCATTAAAAAAACCCTCATGATAGCTACCAGCTACAAATATGGAAAGGCTTTAAAAAACATAATTGGCCACCTGAGATTCCAATAAAGGCAGGAGAGTATCACTACCACAGCACAAGGCACTGAGGAAACTCCATCTCACAGACCACATTATTATTAAAAATGTCTATTAGCATATCAGTGTTACTTGTGCTCCAGATCAACCTAAATTAGGAAACATCAAAGCTGCCTATAAGGAAGAGTCAAAAAATGGCCCCCACGTGGATGATTGCTTTATTTAGGCTAATTAAACAAAGGCCAAAAAGGACAAAACTAATCTCTTGGAGTGGGCAGCATATATGGAACAAGGAAAAAACAACCATTTCAGGCTTATGAATAATTCATAATCCTAAGGATATGTCAGTTGAAGCTGGTACAGCAACAAAAGGGCCGTTAGTAAATGTAGGATGGACAACAGAAGAGGTTTCCAAGGACCAGAATAACAGGCTACAAGGAACATCTTGGACATCAGGCCCTCCTTACTCTGTAATGGAGTGGGGAAGAGATGCAGGATGGCTGTACTTCAGCCCACAGCAGTGAACTGATCACTTCTGACTACAGAATAACCTGTTTGTCCCTTCCAGCAGGCACCTGGTGGTATTTCAGCCTAAATGCACTGAGCAGAACAAAATGAGGGATCCCACTTCAACAAAGCCTCCACCAGTTGGATTTCTAAGCACAGCAATTTCCACATGCATCCCAAAGACATTACACAACACCAGATTGCAGCACAGCCACGCTGGTATCAAAATAAGAGCCAGCTGTCATCTGATTATCAAAGGGAACACAGGAAATTATCCTCTATTACAGGAAGCTCTACTAATCAATTAAGCATTTACTGAAAACTACTGAGCTCAAAACTCAGAAAGAATTAATAGCCATTTTAACAGATATTAAAGAATGGCTGCAAGCCCATTAAGTCCAAAAATATCATTCTCAGCTTCCTTCTCTTCTTAGATGAAAAAATTAGTTTCTTTATATTTCATTTATTGCAAGTGAGCAACAATAACTTATTTTTGTTGAAAATAACATGAGCTGTCTTTTGACAATGTGAAATTAAGTACCAAATCCTTTCCTTAGAAATTAGTTTTGTGCTCATCCTTAAAGTAAATAAATAAATAAATAAATCCAGCACGTTGCAGCAGCACAAGGGAATTGATTTTGCTTTCCCTTCAATTTCTTTTTTCAAAAGTGAAATAAAATCCCAGAATGGTTTGGATTGGAAGGGATCCTAAAGATCATCCAGTTCTATCCCCCTGCCATGGGCAGGGACACCTCCCACTATCCCAGGTTGCTCCAAGTCCCGTCCAACCTGGCCTGGAACCCTTTCAGGGATGGGGCAGCCACAGCTTCTCTGGGCAACCTGTGCCAGTGTCTCACCACCCTCAGCCAAGAATTTCTTTCCCAATATCCAACCTAACTCTGTCCTCTGTCAGTGGGAAGCCATTCCCCCTTGTCCTGTCACTCCAGGCTCTGTCCAAAGTCCCTCTCCAGCTCTCTGGGAGTCCCTTTAAGCACTGGAAAGTGCTCTGAGGTCTCCCTGGAGCCTTCTCCTCTCCAGGCTGAACACCCCCAGCTCTCCCAGCCTGTCTCCAGAGCAGAGGGGCTCCAGCTCTTTGATCACCTTCATGGCCTCCCCTGGACTGGCTCCATGTCCATGTCCTTCCTATGCTGAGGACTCCAGGCCTGGACACAGCACTGCCAGGTGGGTGTCAAAAGAGCACAGCAGAGGGGCAAATAGGTTTAATCTTGTTGCTTGCTGGAGTATAATAAGGAATTATAAAAAAAAGGCAAACAATGCACATTCAGTTCATCCATCCTTTCCTGTCATCATGCCATGGAGAAATTATCCCTTAGAACTTCTGCAGGAAGGTTTAGGTAAAATGGACACTTACCACCTTAGTCACTGTGCTCAGAAGAACATTTGGATCAGGAACTGCTCTCTGAGCCTCACTGTCACCCAGCATGGTGGCAATTGTTTCACTGAGAGCTTCATTTACAAAATGATTTATCATTTCTGAGTCCACAGGGACACCAGCGTTGACAAAGAGCTGAAATCCTCCTCCACCTGCAACTTCAACTGAAAATGAAGGAACATAAAACTCATGTCCAGGTCCCACCTCCTAAAATGCATGTTCTGTACTGCAGCCACTCATTTTGTTCTCCATGAGCTTTTAAACATTCCTTTGAAAAAAGTGATTTTTTTTTTCTTTTTTTACTTTAAAGATAAACAAGAGTAGAGAAACAATTCCTGATCATAAAAGAAGGCAACAGCGACATCACAGGAGAAATGCTTTTCTCTCCACTCTCACACATTTTCAAAGTGGGGGGTGATTTCTGACATATCTATTAACAAAAGAAAGGCAAACAAACATTACAGGCTTAGCAAAATGCCAAGTCTGATTTAGATGGCCAGTAACAGAAGGTGATTTGTACAGTGGGGTGATTTATGCCTTCTTTTCCTTTTTTTTTTTTTTTCCAGATAATTTATTTCAGTGGCCTTATACCACAACATAAATTAAAGTGTGCACTGCTGCTTTTTACAGTTTCACTGGTTCAGCATTATCTACCCTTAGGCTCAGACAACAGCTACCTACACAGCTTGTGAAAATTAGCCAAAAATTGAGATATCCCATCTGCTGAGAACAGTAACTCCCACTTACCAATGTCAGGGGTTACAACCTCCTCGTCTCCACTCTCCGAGGTGCTGACACTGGGTACTGTTTCCTTCTGAGCTGGACACATCCCACTGATAATTTTTGCCATTATTTCCTGTTCCACCCTGGCAGAATAAAATCTTTTTAACTATCAGCAAACACCAAGACACCTAAAAGCACACAAAAGAGCATCCTTGGCATGAAATGCAGGGCAGCTCATAGGAAAAGGAAGAAGGGAACAGAGGCAAGAAGAAAGGGAAGGATAATTAGGGAATCATTCCTCCTTCCATATATATTCTTTTGCCACTTTGTTACCTTGCAACTCACCAATTTATCAGCCTGTTTTCGATGGTTTCTCTCCTTTGAATCAGTTCATCCAAAACATCAGCAGGCTGCTGAGGGGCAGAAGCCACTGGAGGAAACAAAGGACCGTTGTATTTCGGTGAGGCAACTTTAAATTGGCCATTAAGCTCCAGAAGAGGCTCAGAGAACTCTGGAATTTCATCCCTCTCTTCTTCCTGATCCTAATAAATAAGGAGTAAATTAAGTTATGGTGCATTTCTGCAAGGCAATGTCATTGAGGTAGCTGTCAGGTTTTTTTCTTTAAGAAACACTTGTAGATGTGTCACAGCACACGAACCACGTTCTCCCTCCTCAGTGTGTCCTAGTTAATTGATACAACTCTAAGCTTAGCAAATCATAAATCTGTAGAGGTATAAAGTTATAGGAACTGCTAAGTAAAACATGATTTGGCTCCTATTTCCTGCCTGTGCTGCACAGGGCAGAGAGCCAGTGGTAATGCTAACACTTGAAAAATGTACTTGTGACATAAGTTTCTTTAATGTACACACCAGAAACGTTCCTCCTCTAAACACAAAACTTCAGGAAACTTTCTACAGTTACTTGTTGGGTTAGGGCTTTTTTGTTTTGTTTGGGTTTTGGTGTTCTGGTTGCTTTTTTTAAAATGAATTAAACTTGTTCATTAAAGTTTCCTGTCTGAAAAGACACAGTCCCAAAAGTTAATGAGCATGTAGTCTGTCAAAACTCTAATAAACTTGAAGACCAGACATTAATATTTTACACATATGTTACATGTGTGTTTACAGTTTCATTAAGTCCAGCTGCTGAAAGTTAGAAGGTATTTCTGGGTAATAATTCAAAAAATCCTCGCAGACATCTTGATTTTAATGATAATATGCTATTTCTAAAAAGTTATAGAAGTTACTTGGTGTGTGTTATAATGTTTGGCTGTTCCCAAAGATGCCTCCCTCCTTTTTCCCTGGATACACAGCACCAAGTCCCAAAAAGCAGTCACTAATCCATCATACTGTAATGTCTCCTGATGGATGAGAACCTGCATCCTTCACTTGTAATATTAAAAGCAAATGTCTCTAATGGCAATATGATTCTCTAAGAAGAAAATTTGGCATGGCAGAAAGACATGAAGAGCTGGGCCCTAAATTACCAGTGAGAAGCATGTGATGGTGCATAAAAGAGCTCCCTGTAAATCCACATTTACTAAGATTAATCTCCAACACAGTGAAAAGAGAAAAAAAAATCTTCTTTTCCTTTACATAAATTAAACTTACTTTTAACCCATAAAATAAAATAAAAAAAAAACAAAGAAAAAAAAAAGTGCTATATATTATCTATGAATAAAAGAACAAATCACTGAAAACAGAAAGAACAGAGAAGGGGAAATAAAAAGACAGTGACATTTTCCTGTCTCCTTCCTCAACCCAGCATTAATAATTCTCTCCTACCTTAATATACTTCAAAACTGCAAAGTCAGAGAGGTCCCTGATGGGTATTACAACAAAGAGCTGTTGGGGAGCAGGATCCTTCTGGATCTTTATATAGGGATAATTCTTCAAAGAAGTGAGAATATGTATATTCTTGAAGAATATGTATATTGGGTGGCAAACAAAGATCTCTAAACCATTCTGGGCAGAGAAATAACCAGTTTAGTTCAACTCAGAAAGCACTGGGTGCCTTGCAAGCTGATAAGCAGTTCATGCTATCAGGATATATGTACTCAGAACCATAATTCATTCTGACAGCAAATGTAAAGATGTCTTTGTCCAGCATTTCATTATGCATTTTCTTCTGCCTGCTTTACTCCATAAATTTTCTTTGATGTTGCCTATTTAATACTTCTGAGAGTATGCAAAATACAAACATCTGGATTAAATAAACCAAGTACATACAATAAATCTTACATATATTTAGTAACTCTGACAAACTTTTGCAGTCCTCCTGCATTTCTAAAATATTTGATATTTAATAGCGCACAAATCCACAATAATGCACAAATCCAGAGGAAAACTGTATTCATTTTGGGGTGATACATCATCTCTGCTGAAATAAAAAAATAGTGTAACAGTCAGTATTTAATTATACAGATTGAACTTGAACATATATCACCTTGTAGACCAATCTTGAATAATCTGCACTTAATTCTGCATTTTGCTTCCCTGGAGACTGTTGAAAATACCTATCAGGACTCCCAATCAAAATATGGCATAAATTAGAAGGTCTTTCAGATATGATTGGAATATTAATCACCTACTTTATTATAAAGTATCAAGCTGAAATTCTATTTCCCAAATTACATTGAAATAACTTAAAAAAAAGTTCGTAATGCTTAGTGGTATAGATTAGTTTTGTTCCATTACCAAACACGTATATGCAGAGGCTTTTATCAAAGCCTCCCAAAACTTAAGTCATGGATTTCTGGATGGATTTCTAAAGCAATTCTCACAGGCAAGGCCAGGCTGCATTGCAGGTGTCACCTGGGATCTTTTGTCTGAAGAGTCACACGTGTGAAAACATCACTGTCCCCACGAGCGTGTGTGGGAAACCAGGGCTGAGGGAAATGCATTTAGTCTGAGCTCTGCAGGTTCTAAATATTGAGTGCTGTTGAAACTGGAAGCAAAATTTCTGAGAAACAAGTCACCACCTTGCACTTAGGGCATGTTCAGAGAGAGTAAAAAGGGTCTCCAATCCTAAATCCCACTAAATTTGCTGAAGTCCCCCCGGATGTGGCTGTTCACAAGAGCTGACACAATAAAACTCAGAGTCTGCTCTTGGCTCATGTGAGCAGAGCAAGGTCCTCACTCTGAAAAAATCCCAGAATGGTTTGGCTTGGAAGGGACCTTAAAGATCATCCAGTTCTACCCCCTGCCATAGGCAGGGACACCTTCCACTAGCCCAGGCTGCTCAGAGCCTCATCCAGCCTGGCCTGGAACAATTCCAGGGATGGGGCAGCCACAGCTTCTCTGGGCAACCTGTGCCAGGGCTTCACTACCCTCACAACCAAGAATTTCCTCCTAATCCAACCCTGCCCTCTGCCAGTTTAAAGCTGAAAAGGCAAGTTCATGCAAGGAAACCTCTTCTGTGCAGAAAGTGTAAACCTACTTTGTTGTAGGTGCAACCATTGATCAAAAATAAAGAAATCAAAGCTGTTTTCTGCTTTGTTCCGTAAATTTTCTTACTGTGAAGTAAGAGTACCTAATTTAACTATTTTGGAAGGTGGAGCTCTGGGTCTTTAAACACAAGATAGAGAGGTAGCAATGGGGGGAGGGGGGGTTGTGTTTGACAGGCTGGGGCACAGTGCAGAGTGCTCAAGACTGCTAAATGAGTGTTTGAGATGTGACAAAGGCCTGTCCCCACCCAAAAACAGGAGCACAGAGGAACAACAAGAGGTGGGAGAACAACCAAATACGACAACCAAGCACCAGACATGGGTTATTCCAAGGGCCACCACAGGAGAGGGCCCAGCCCCAGGGCCCAGCAGTGACACCCAGCAAGATGAGCCCAAGGAATGACTCTTCATGGTACCTTTCTTCAGGTGGGGCAGGTGCATTTGGATGAGGTGACGACACTGTGAACTATTCTGGGATGCAGGGAATAGGTATTTTGGGATGGAACAACAGTTTTTATGGGGTGTTTACAGTGAGGAAAAGGAGATGTGGAAAGAAGAGAGGGTTTGATTGGAAGGGACCTTAAGGATCATCTCATTCCATCCCCCTGCCATGGGCAGGGACACTCTCCACTAGACCAGGTTGCTCCAATCTCTGTCCAACCTGGCCTTGAAAACTTCCAGGGAAGAAAAAACAGGAAAAGATAAAAACCCCAAAAGATATTTCACACAAATACTTATCCTCCTCAGTTCTAAGAGAATTAAGTTCTCCTAATAAAAGGGAGAGGGGGGAAGACAACAATGAGCTGTTTCTTCCATACAGCATTTTATGCACATTTTTTCAGGAATCTGAAGCCTCTTTTATAACAATAACTTTGCTTTCTTTTGATGTCTTAAATACCCCTGCCACTCCAGAGATTGATTTTATGCTTCCACATTGTGTTTGCCTTGCACATTTTTAAGAACATTGTCCGTGTGGTCACAGGCCAAACATATGTTTCACTTGGAACATTTTTTGGTATTGTGGTTAAAATATATCTCATTGCCAAAAATAAGAGATAAAAGCAATCCAGGAAAAAGATGAAAAAAGGAAAGATGAATAACTATTATTCACATAATAAAAATTTAACATTGCAGTATTTTTTGTTAGTTCATAAAATGATTTCTTGAATAGCTTTCCTCTTTAGTTTCATAAATTAAAGCTTTTTTTTTAATGCAAACAGAAGAACAATGTCCACATAGATTTAACTCCTCTCCTCCAACAACATCAGTAACTTTGAAACTATAAGTGGGTAAAGCATTTGCACAGTTGTGATAGACAAACCACCAATTTAGGTTATTTTAACCAACTGATGACATAAAATGATGAATTCATTTTAAAAATAAATCTGCCATACTGACCTGTAGGCTACAGGGTTAATATTCAATGTACACTCTAATCCTGGGATCCAGAGCACGAAGAAGAGGTAAAAAGAATACATTTGGGGGTAGATTTTGAAATGCACACAGCAAGTCTTGCTCACTGAAGTGAAACACAGGCTGGTTCACCAACCTTGTGGGTTTGTCAGCCCCTACTCTGACATGAGGTCAGCTGACTAAAAGAGGACTTGCTACCTAAAAAAATTAAACTGTGAAAGAGTATCTCAAATAAAACAGAAATGACAATGTTGTTAAATTTTGGAAATTTCTAATGAGATCTATGAGATGAGCAGTACATGAGTACAGAGAATGACAGAACAGGCAAAGTTGGAAGGGACCCACAAGGATCATCCAGTTCAGCTCCAGGACCCTCCCCAAGAGTCACATCATGTGCCTGAGAGCATTGTCCAAATACTTGAACTCTGTCAGGCCTGGTGCTGTGACTCCTCCTCACTGTTTGTCCTTTCTTTCATGAAGTTACAACGTTTGACTGAAATGAGATATTGCTAAAGCATTTTAGGGCCTCAAAAGCACATGCAAATTGCTCTATACTGAAATTTTCTAAAAGGAACCCTCAGAAAATACTTTCATTCTTTAAAAGATAACTCACTTTAAAATCTGTAAGAGAATCTTATACAGAATCACAGAATGGTTTGGGTTGGAAGGCACCTCAAAGACCATCTCGTTCCAACCCCTGCCATGGGCAGGGACACCTTCCACTAGCCCAGGTTGCTCCAAGCCCTTGAACACTTCCAGGGATGGGGCAGCCACAGCTCCTCTGGGCAACCTGTGCCACCCTCACAGCCAAGAATTTCTTCCCAATATCCCATCTAACCCTGCCCTCTGGCAGTAGGAAGCCATTCCCCCCTTGTCCTGTCCCTCCAGGCCTTTGTCCCAAGTCCCTCTCCAGCTCTCTTGGAGCCCCTTTAGGCACTGGAAGGGGCTCTAAGGTCTCCCTGGAGCCTTCTCTTCTCCAGGCTGAACAACCACAGCTCTCTCAGCCTGTCAACATATTCATTACCTTCAGAGTTTTAAATTGTGAAATCCAAGTGCTGTAATCACTGCTGATTTTAGAGAACTACTTGTATTTCTAGTGGATTCTAACATATCCAAATAAAAGCCAATTTTAACTTTTTACTCTAATTCTTCAAAAGCTACTCTACTTTACCAACACACAGTAATTTCTAATATTCTTTATAGCACTGTAAACAGGTATAGTAGTGCTCACAGTGTGTACTTTTAAAGCTGCTAATACTGTTTACATTGTTTTCAGATATGACAGAATGATATAAAACAAATATATTTTTTTTAAAAAAAGAAAGGACCTTTTTTCAATGTGATTACCTGCATGACATCAGTGACATCAACGAAATTAGTTCCTGGAAACTCTGTGTCTTCACTGTGTATATCTTCTGGGGTCTTATAAAGACAGATTGCAATTGTTAGGTATTTCATATAGGAGGGGAAAATGCATTAGCAGAAAAACTTCATGACAAAAATGCAATTAAATCACCACTCACTGTCAGTATTCTGAATTGAGAGAAAATGCTTTATCCACCTTACAAGTCAGGAGGAATTTCTTTGCACAGCATAGGGAGAGATTATTAGAACAACAACTTCCTGCATGCTGACAGCTGAAACCTGCTGTTACCAAATCTAATGGCAATAGTCTCCAAGTGTCTTAAGCAATTTACTTCTGTATGATTTCTGTGGTGTTATTTAATAATCAGACAATCACAGAATGTTTTGGGTTGGAAGGGACATTAAAGACAATCTCCTTCCACCCACCTGCCATGAGCAGGGACACCTTCCACTAGAGCAGGTTGATCTAAGCCCTGTCCAACCTGACCTTGGACACATTCAGGGATGGGGCAGCCACAGCTTCTCTGGAAAACCTGTGCCAGGGCCTCCCCACCCTCACAGCCAAGAATTTCTTCCCAATATCCCACCTAAATCTCTGTCAGTTTGAAGCCATTCCCTCTTACTCTGTCACCCCATTGTAAATAGTCCCTCTCCACGTTTCTTGTAGGTTCCCTTCAGGCACTGGAAGGCTGCACTAGGTCACCCCAAAGCCTTCTCCTCTCCAGGCAGAACAATCCCAATTCCCTCAGCCTTTCCTCATAGCAGAGGTGCTTCATCCCTCTGATCATCTTGGGGTGATGGAGTAATATATTTTTAAAATAATAATCACTATTCTGGTCCACAATCTCTGTCTTGTTCAGTGAATACTTTGACCACAGGACTCTGGAGGACCCAACTCCAGAAGTCAGAATAGCAACTAACACACAGGGCAAACAAAATGTACAATAATCATACAAAAACCATCCCTGCAGCCCCGTGCCTTCACACTGTCCAGTCTGCCCTTATTGTTCAGCAGGCAGCAGTACAAAAACCTTCATTGCTGCTTAGATTAGATTAAAAACACTTCTGAAAAGTTCCATGGAAAGAAAATGGACTGGTCAGCTCCACACACCACGGGCTCCCAGGACACAAAATGCCATGAACCACCAGAGAACAGCCAAGGAGCAGATGGAGGAATGAGGAACATCCTCAGCCTTCACATCAGAACACTGAAGCCAGTGTAAACCAGACAGACATGGGCCAACAGGGATTATAATTCTTAACAGGGCACAGAAACACTATTTTTATTAAGAATTTTACTATGGTGATTATTTAATCTTGGAAGAATAGTGTCTTGCTGCAATTTCTCATTTTCTTAAAACAAATCTTTTACACAATAAATTCTTTAGAATAATTACTCCATTTTTCCTGGAACTGTCTCATTTCTCTAACTAAAGACAATGAGATAACTTAGCAGTAATTTAACATATTTTCTTTTTTGAACAAATCTGAATTCACAGACAATCAATACCTGTATTACAGCATCCACAGGAGGAAGAAGAGGTTCAGAATCTGGAAGAACATGGTTTACACTCACACTGTCACTCGAAACACTGTCAATGTCCACATTTGGTAACACCTGGGAAAGAGGGAAAAAAAAAAAGCATTAATATAAAAATCTATGTATTAGCTTGGCTGTTATCACTGAACTTTTTAGATTCTTCCATTTGCTACTGAGCCACTAAACTTCAGAGACCCTCCCCTTTTCTGGTGCCTGGACCTGGTATCACCTTGGTTCTGAAAAACAAAACCCTGTAAAAAACTAAGGGCAGAAATATTCACATGTTTTCTTGCAGTACCTGATTTTTCCTGTTCTTTCATTCCCCGACACTTTGCCTTGCCTGTGAGAGAAGGTGAGTGTACCTATTATTTATAACTTATTATTTATATGGGAGATGTGTGTTTGACTTACAATTTGTTTGCACAGTGTAGGTTGATTATTGGCTTCACACTGTCACACATCTGGTACAGTAAAACAAAGGGAAAATTGTATTACAATATAAAAACAGGTCCACTGTAGCATCAAAATGGGTTGTGTGTCTGTTAAGAACAAAGATTTAAATGCTTGCTTAATTCCTCAGGGAAAAATCACATTAAGTATTTAAGAACTGGGTGAACTAACAGCAAAATGTGGGTGGAATAGTGACACAGCAAAGGAACAAACCACACAAAACTCTACCTGTATTTAACTCTGAGGCCCATTAATCATTTGAATCTGAAAGGTGTATGTGGGATGTGTACAGTCTCAACAATTTGAGCCCAAAATAATGAACACATAAGAAACATTCACTTCCTTGTCAACAGACTCATGTTAAAAATTAAAACAACAAACTCCAACCCACCAGGTAAGGACTGTGGGGGTTGATTAATCTGCAGTGAAATCCTTGGGTTGACAATCATGCTTGAAACAGAAATCTTAAAGGCCAAAGCAGTCATCCAAGAAAACTGACATTTATATTTATACTTTTTTTGATTCCAAATTTGTTCTGGCTGAAAAATCTCATTAAAAAAAAGAAAATGTGACATAGATCTATTTTTACACACACCCTGTCTAGGTGACAGAGGGAAGAAATAGTTTTCTATTTTGATGAAATAATAAAGATAATTGATAAAATATGAGTGAATATATTAGCACAGCATGAGAACTTCCTGGTCCCTCCATTCTTTATGTTTCTGTTGCTTGCTAAAAACCATCTACTGATGTCAAAGAGCACTAGTGGTGGATCAGACTGCCTTTAATTAGCATTCATTAAAATAAACAAACAAATAATCATCACTCTTGACAAGTACCTGCACAGAGAGCTGAGGTGGATCCTTTTTCTCTGATCTCATCTCTATCACAGCTATGTTTGGTTTTTTTACCTCAACTGGAGGTTTTGGCACTTGAGGGAGGGAGGTTGTAACTGTGACAGGGTGTGGCTTGTCTATGATGATCCCAGCAGGCTGCAGGGATGTACTGCTCTGGGTCTGACCTAAGGACAGTTGAAAAACAATTAAAAATGCATATAAATCTCCAAAGTCAGCAAATTCATAAATTAATTAAAATGAATTTCTACGTGTCTGTGTTTCATGTCAGGCTGAGATTCTGTGTGCAATTACAGGCCAATTAAAAAGCCCCCTATTAACACTATGGGGATTCACCAGGTAATCTGAAGGCTTTCCCAGCAGAAATTGTAAACTCAACAGTGCCATTTTTAAAAATTACTTTCTTGACTATGGTGACACCTACTGCTGAAAATCAGAATTGTGTTTGCTGATCCAAAAGTACACACCATGTTTCCCCCACCTCACATTCTTATAATAATATCCAAAATAAGATTACACTTATAATACCATCCCACAAATTTTTGAGACACCCTTTAAAAAACATAATTCTCTTCTTTAAATGCCAATATAATACTAACCCTTCTCAAAACGAGGCCTGTAGAAAGGTTCTATTCAAGGTGCAAAAATACAGAACCTTTTAACAATGAATTTAGTGTGTTTGGCACAACCCTACTGAAACTGTTGGGCTGGAGTCATTGTAAATGTTGAATCCAAGGGCCAGTAATTCAGTTTCTGTTTATGTGGACACCAAACTTAAAGCCAGAATATGAACCCTAGAAATGGAAAGTGTGCAAGAAAGGGGACAGGTAAGCAATAAAACTGGGGCAATAAGCTCCAGGACCTGAAAGGAGCCCACAAGAAGGATGGAGAGGGACCTTTTACAAGAGAATGTAGTGACAGGACAAGGGGGAATGGCCTCAAACTGACCAAGAGTGGCTTTGGATTGGATATCAGGAAGAAATTATTCCCTGTAAAGGCAGTGAGGCCCTGGCACAGGCTGCCCAGAAAAGCTGTGGATGCCCCAACCCTGGAAGTGTCCAAGGCCAGGTTGGATGGAGCTCTGTGTAAACTGGTCCCGTGGAAGGTGTCCCTGCCCACGGAACAAGATGATCCTCAAGGTCCCTTCCAACCCAAACCCTTCTGTGATTCTGTGAAATAATTACCCTAATTGTCACTAGACATCCAGAATAAAATAAATGAGGAAAACCAGAACATTTTAAACTGATCCCCCAGATATCCTATGGGAAGGGAAGCTGCAAATCTCATGGACCAGGGCAAACCACAGAATGGTTTGGGCTGAAAGGGACCTTAGAGATCATCTAATTCCAACCCTCAAATCACTGATTTAAGAAGAAACAAGTCATATTTCCATGAAGCAGCAGTAATTAACCTCCTTCTCCAGGTTACTTGCTCCTACCTAGTGGAATAGCCATGGGAATGAGGTGACCTTCAAGGGGACCATAGGCAGGAGGCACATCCTGACTGGGACTGAAGACATACTGATTTTCCTGGGCAAGAGCATACACAGGATGCTGTTTCCTGGGGCTGGTGATGACCTTCTGTGTGTGAGAAGAAGTCTGGGTTCTTGCTGACTTAACCTTTGTACCTGAAACAAGAGCAGATAAACTGCATGTCATCAACATGTACACAACCAGGACATCCCACATTCTGCAAATTCAAGCCTCCCTGCTGAAGGAATTATAAATATTTGCTGTGGGATGGAGGGAATGAGGGAGGGAGTCAGGAAGGGCAGAATCTAGAAGTGCTAAGGGAGATGTCTCAGTACTGACAGCAGTAAAGGAGTTAAAATTGCCATTTTCAAGCTGAATCTACCAGATAAAAGCACAGAAACATGAAAAGAACACAAAGATAGTAGCAGGATGAAACAAAATATGTGATTTAGCTGCTAAGAAGAAATCCATGATTTAGGTTTCAAATGCAGCCACAAGACTGACAGGTACTCAAAGGAACAGGTATAATCTACAAATTCCTGGTTTAACAACTCACTGCTACTGGCAAATCAAGCCATAAGTAATACCCATAATTCCTGACTTCCAGCATCAAGGAAGCACTGATTTCTCTGGTCCAGTTTTTAAAGTTTATTGTAAATAGCAGCCAGAAGTAATTTGTGTGTAAAAGTATCTTCAGCATATAGCAGAGGAGAGCATTTATTGCAAAGTGCATTTCTCACTATACCGTCATGCAAGACCTTATTCAGCCTAAATTTTTTGCAAGCAGTGGTTATTATTAAGGAAATTATTAACTTTAATCTAAATGGATAAATTCCTCCCAAAAAGGACTCAACCACTGTGAATCAAACAGAAGTGCTTGGGCTGCTACTTTGCAGGCGTCAGGAAAGTGAATCTGTAAGAGTCACGTTGGTAACCAGCTCCAGCTCTTTGTTACAGCCAAAAAAATGTCATGTTACTCCTCTGTTGTTTCTAACCACCACCTCTCTGTGTTCATTGCCACTTAACACGTGGCAACCAGCACTTTTTAGCTCTGTTCACATTTAAAGAGCCTCCTAATTAACTGAAGAATGAAAGTCAATGATTATAAAGTACGGGGATAAAAAAGATTGATAATCTCACTTTTAACAAATGCAGACAAGCAAATAAGGCAATTCTCTCACAAAGTGGTGTTTTTGTACAGACAAATTATGGGTTATAAGCCTGGAAACAAGAACAGCAAGTCACAACTCTTCAGTGAGAGGTCAGAAAGAAGAGGCTCTGGAAAAGGCTTTGCTGTCTGGTTGGATAAGCAATGGGAAGAGAAATCACAATACAATTCTGTGGCCAAGGGGATAAAACCCTCAGATGTCTCAACAGGATGTCAGAGATGGAGCAGGGGGAGACTTCCATATATGATAACTCTGCATTCAGTACTAAGTCTGTACCTCTGTAAGTATTAAAATAGATTGGACTTCAAAAGGCCTTTTTCATTTTTTAAGGAAAAATCACCAGGAAGCTGCAAACTAAAGTCAAAATCTCACTACAAATCAGATGCTCAATTTGAAGTGTCCTATTTCCTATTGAACAGAAAGTGTCCAGCCACGGGAAGAAGCAACTAAGGGCAGAATTTCTGATGCCTTTAAATGCTGAGCATGTGCCTTTCTGCCCAGCACAGGTTAGCCAGAAAAACTGTTCTGCAGCCAGAGACAAATTACTGGAGTCAGGAACATAAACAGATACAGTTCAGAGGCCTGTGATTTAGCAGAGGTCACACTACATGATCTCACAGTCCCCCTTGGCCTTGAACTTTTGAGCAAAAGCAGGAATTGGCAGTGTATCTGTAGTGCTGCCAACTTGTAAAAACAAGGTTCTCACAGTGGGAATGATGAAGTACTGTACACACACAGCACCTCATTTTAATTGCTTTCAACTTTTCATTTCCCCCCTCAAAAGTTTATTTGCACTGGGCAGAAACTAGACATTTAATTAAACTTAGCTTTAAAAAAACTAGTGTTTTACATCTACTTATCAGTTCACATTATGCAAGAAAACAACTCCAAGTTGGTTTTTTTTCTTTTTAAGAAATGATCTCTTACTCATAAAAGTGTTGGTTGAGGTTTTTTTTTCCTAACTTCCCATAAGAAAGCAAGCATTAGTCACCACAGTTTATTTGCAAAGAAAATGGTTGAGAGTTATAAAATGACTGAAAAGAGCCTCTCCAGATGGCCATTTCAGTCTTAAATAAACATCCTTATTCTAACACTAATTTAAACCAAGCTCAGTGGATCGCTCTGACAAAGCAGGGTCATTTAATAAGTCTGGATTTTCCAGCCAATCAAACCCAAGGCCAAAGACTTCCAACTATTTCTAAGCCTTTATCACCTGGGACATCAAGGCCAGGAAGGGAATCTGAGGGTGCAGATCTGTGAGATTGGGTTCTTCCTTTCTTTTTTTGAAAGAACCTGGTGCTTTAAAGTGCTCACTCAACTCTGTTGCATTTCACTTACACTCCTGCTACAGAGGAGAACAGATCTGTTTCTAATTTTATTATTTATACTTCCCTGCCATAACAGGATCTTCCCAAGAGCAGCAAAAGCATTTAACTGTTTCACCTTCACGAGACCCACGTGAAACACCAGCTATTACTGTTCCATTTCATTGACAAGGTGCAGGAAAGCACAGAAATTAAGCACCTTGAGCAACTGTCTTACCCAGAGTCAGGTCATGCCAGTATCAAGCAAAGGCTGACCTCATTTTAAAGCCAGTAAAATCAGAGAACTTGGAATAGGACATATTCATTGGAGTGCTTCCTTTACAGTCTTCCTTTCTTCCCTTAGATAAGAATACAAGGGGAGGGGGGTGTCTTTATTTTATTTACTGCCCCGATAGAGACAAACCCATAACTTTCCAGAAGTGCAGCCTGATGTGAAATAGAGAAACAGATTTTCTGGTGGCTTTATTCCTGCAAACACACGTTGCTGTGCTGCTGCTGAGTGACTCCATGGCTTGGAATGGGAAAAGGCTATCCAGAGTTCATCCTGTTTTCAGGCAAAGAGCTTTAAACCGTGTTTGTCACACGCAGGAGTGCTGGAAGATTGAAGGCACCATCGACCCAGTGCAGTTTTCTCTTTAATTTCTATTTGCCTCCAGCAGAAAACAAGCACAGGAGCAGCTTTTTACACAAGCTGTACCTTCACTTTTCACTGACACCACGGAATTAAACATGTTACTGGTAGAAAACTGGTGGTTTCAAATCATCAAATAACCTATTTATTATAATTAGTTGGAGGAGGGGGCACTCTTTCTGCCACTTTACAAGATACTGTTGCTGGAATAATGAAATTGGCCTCCCTGGAAAGGTTGTGACCTTCCATAAAGGACAAGAGGCCAATAAATATAGAAGAAAATTCATTTTGGACTCAGCAAAAGCAGAACTGCTGATTGAATATTTTTAAAGAAGTGTCTGTTCTCAGTCCAAATCTTAGTGGTCACTGTGTTACTGTTATTGCTACACTAAGTGCTTACCAGCACACATTTTGTTCAAACAAATCTGTGCAGAATAAATTAAATTATAGGTGCACAGCATAACCAGGAGTCAAAATGAGAGATCTATCATGCTGGTCTACCAATATACCATTATTCACCAAAAAAAAAAAAAAAGACATGTTTCAAGAGAGGTAAAATAAAATATACAAGCAACAAGACTATCAGTTTTCATGTAACCTGTTCTCACCTTTTAAAAAAGGAAGTAAGTCTTGAGGTTTTCTAGGTTTTTGCCAGGACTGTAACTCACATTTTCCAGGAGGGTTATGAGAATTGGGAATACTTTCTACCAGTAACACTTTTTCTTCATGGATCACAACTGGGCTCCAGAGCACGGGTAAGAGAAGTGCCAGGAAATGGCACGAAGAGCACGTGGGGCTAAACAACAGATTCTTGTCCTGTTTTGAGGATCTGCCACTGTGGACGAACATTATGACCACAGAATGGTTTGGGTTGGAAGGGACCTTAAAGATCATCCACTTCCAACCCCCTGCCACGGGCAGGGACACCTTCCACTAGATCAGGTTGCTCAATTAAAATAATAATAATGTAAAAAAAAACCCCCAACAAACCCAGCCTCAAACCCAGCAGTGCTTGCCTTCAAAGATGTATCTGTGTTTTATACCACACGTTTTAATGGCTCAAAAACATGCTTTCATCAAGTGACTGCCTTCTGATGTTCATCTCTCCTGTTTCATACAGAACAGAGCATTTTTACAGCTGCAATAAAAACTCAGGCAGCATTTTTAAAACGTGACATTTCAGATTGCATCCAGTATATTTTCCCTGCATGGGTAACAACAGTGCAAGTGCAAGAAGTGTGGAGGGAGCCAGCTCATATTTTCCCATTGATGCACATCCTATTAACTCCACTGTGCCCATAATCACTTTAATACCTCTTACACTGAACCCTCTCTCCCATCTCCACACTTTCTCTCCATCATTATCCTTTATCATGTAATTTGCTCACTCTATCTTGCAGTAATACCATACAAATTAGATTTTCTAACATATCAGTTAAAGATTAACCTTATCTTCTGTATTAAGAGTCAGCTAAATTTTGAGAAGATAACTAAGAAATAAAACTGATCCAATTAAAACATTACTTTCTACTAACTCAAGATTAAGTTTATCCACACTTAGGTCAGATATCATAGAGTCTCACTTTTTTATAATTTTTACACATTTTTAATAGGTTTGAAAATTGGTATCTTCTTATCTTAATACTTTGCCCACAAAAGTAATGAACGGAATTCATTATTAATCCACTAATAATCTTTATCAATTAAATGGCCTTAACAAGCTCTTACAGAAAGGAGTTATACTCTGCTTTTAACCCTGATTGGACTCACAAAAGAGGTTGCCTGCATTTATTGAACTTCACCAACGATTCTGATGACTTCTTTCAATATTTCCAAGTTAAGAGATGTCATCTTCAAGCCCATAAACTTAATTTTTCATGTTTCAATTAATGTCTTAGAAGTGGGAAATTAAATCTCAGGCTTCCTCAATCTTTCAAATCTCAGTACCTTTCTGAACTCTGAATAAATTAAGCATGTAAATGACATGACTGGATAAACCTGACATAAAGAATTCATCTCTCAGTGACCTTTATCAAAAGCCAAGTTCATTTTCCAACACACTCAGCTTTCAGATGTGATCACTTCTGGCAATTTATCTCTTTAAGACTTGGACAACAATAGAGACATATTAATATACTTCTTAAAGTATTAATATACTTCTTAAACTCAGAAACATCAAATTAGATTATCAAATAAATTTTATTTATTTGATAATCTAAAGTAAGTGAGATACACACTAGGTAAGCCTGAAAATTTACGGGTTTTTTTTTTTTTAGTTTTGAAAAGAGCATCTTAAATAGAAATAGAAACAGAAATGGATTATTTCAGTTGGACAGGACCTACAACCATCATCTAATCCTGATGGATTAGATAACCCGAGCAATTCAGGGCTGAACAAAAGTTAAAGCCTGGTATTTCTACACATGTGTATTTTACATAAAGATATATATAGAAATAGATCTAGATATATAGATATAGAGATACAGATATGTATATATTATTTGTAAGGGTATTTTCCAAATGCCTCTTAAACACTGGCAAACCTGGGGCACTGACCACCCCTCTAGAAAGCAACTGCAGTTGCTTAGGCTTTAAATTGAAGAGCAGGTGAACCACAATTAAATAGCTTCATTTATACAAGGAATTCCTAACAGGAAAACTGGGAAGGAACACCTTGTTCACAACAAATGGTTACTCACCTTTAACATACTCTATCAGCTTGGGCCTTGGAAGTTTGGATTTGGGAGAGGGAGAGTTGAACCTCAGATATGGGGCTTTTTTGAGGGTGCTGCGATGGCCCTGGTAAATTGGTTTCCCATAAACTCGACACAGATAATCTTCATTTTGTACCAGTGCACTTCCACTCCTAGGGCCCTGATGCACATCAAAAAGGAAAACAAAAGAAGCAGTTTACAGTTCTTCACGTATGAAAATGTGAACAGGACAGGGCCACCACTTTCATTTCTAATTATTACAGTTACACACACAACTTGTCACGTCGATGCTGCACTAACAGTTGTCACCAAAAGACAAACCAACCACCTGGGAACTCACATCTGCCCTTCCTTCTCTCCTCTGCAAACCTTCAGGAAAGTAAGTTCTAAGCCTCTGTTTCCTGGTGTTATCTTCCTCTTGCCTCTGCAATGGCTTAGCTGCACACAGAGGCATCTTTGTCGAGCCACCTTGGATTTGTTGAGTTTTCGCTTTCATTTCTTTCTTGGCCTTCATAGCCTTGAGGTTTTGGGCTCTCTTGATCCATGGGAGTTTTGGATCATATTTCCCTTGTTCTGAGTCATTTCTTGCCATTTCAGCCTAAAGATAAAACATAAAAGTTAGTAAATGGAGATTTTTATCTTCAAGGCTATCAGAAGAGCGTGTGGGTAACTCTGAAGCTCTGAGAAATGGTCTGTTCTCCGTGTTACCCAGCAACTGGGACCAGTGATTTTCATTAAGAAACCAACATTCTAAAATCATAGAATAGAATCATAGAATAGATTGGGTTGGAAAAGACCTCCAAGATCATCAAGTCCAACCCCTGATCCAACTCCAATTACTATATCATGGCACTAAGGGCCACGTCCAATCTCTTTTTAAAAACCTCCAGGGATGGTGAATCCACCACCTCTCTGGGTAGGCCGTTCCAATGCCTGATAACCCTCTCTGTAAAGAATTTCTTCCTAACATCCAACCTAAACCTCCACTGGCAGAGCTTGAGCCCATGTCCCCTTGTCCTATTGTTGGTTGCCTGGGAGAAGAGACCAACCCCCACCTGGCTATAACCTCCCTTCAGGTAGTTGAAGAGAGTGATGAGGTCACCCCTAAGCCTTCTCTTCTCCAGAAGAGAAAATAAAAGCAAATATTTTATTGTAGCCTTACGTTTTCAAGGTGTGAGCAAACCACTTCACTGTGGTGAACAGGAAAGAACAAGGCAAGGTGGAAAAACACAAGGCAAAAATCTGAACTCATTTTTCCAGCCATTTTACCTGGATTTCTTCACTGATTGCCTGGATCCACTCGTCCACAGCCCTCCTGATACGGATCTCTTCCAATACATCTCTGAAACAGAAGAAAGAACTATTTTAGGTCAGATTTCTTCCTGGGAAAGTAGTGACCTATAAATGCTATAAAAAGGGAAAGCCAGAACACAGACAGGAGGATTTTGCACCTCTGCATCCTCCAAAGGGACTAAACAAAGCCATGATTTCCCAAATCCAAACCTGTTCTTACAGAATGCCTGCAAACCTCACTCCCTGCTGGTAAGTACTAAGGTTACTGCAAATATTTAGGAATCAGAGGCAGCCATGTGTCAGCTCCTGCTTTGATCAAAACTGAAAAAACAAGGCTACAAAAACACTCCAGCTCAAAAGACAAAAAGCAGATGACAAATTACTACATGCCCTACAAGATAACGAGAGCAGGTATTATGCCTGAAAAAAAAAATCTTTACATATATATAGAATAGCTGCTTTCCTCAGGAAAATACAAGTTTAAGTTGTATTTTAATAGGAAAACTTTCATTATGATTCAAGCAAGAGTATTTAACACAACTAACGAAGCAAAAGTTCAAAAGGCAAAGATGTGCTGTAGGATGATTCATTCTGTAACATTTACAGGATTACAAATGATGAAAATAGCCTTGAATTTTCTTATTTTTTTGGAATGTTTGTATGGAAGCAGCTCAATGCCCCAAAGTCATGGCAAGCAGAGCAGTCTGTCCAGATGACAAAGCCTCAGAATTCAGACTTAGCAAGAAGTAACAGGCACCTGACAAAAATTCAGTTCACATCACAAGGGTCAAACACCACCTGAAGTTCAAGAACCAGCTAACGATTGCTAAGAAGAGTCAATAAATACTTTTTGCATTAGTTCTTCAATGCACAGATTTAAAAGAAAAAAAAATCAGAAAAGAGGTGCTAAAAGGAGTTCACAGACAAGGAGCAGCCTCACAAGCACTGAATTAAAGGGTCTGACCTGTTTGCAGTCAAGCTGTTAATGAAGGAATATGTGGCATCTCCATCCTTTGCACGAGTGACAGCTTCCAGATTCTCCTCGAGAAATTTCTTATTGTTTTGAACTCCTCTCAGAGTCCTCTCAGCATCCCTCAGGATGGATTTGGGCACTTGGATATTTTGAAGGATGGATGGTCTACTGAGCAGAGGATGTTCAGGAGGATCAGGTGCAACAGTGGGACTTTTGGACTAAAATTGAAACAGAACCTCCAGCTTTTAATCAGAGATTGTAATATCCTATTAATCTGTGATCCTGTCAATGCCATCACAGGGAATGCCACCAACCTGAATTACTCCAGAACATTCAGAGTGTTGCAAATACATTAAGAAGTCAAGAAAACTGAAAGACACCCAAAAAAACCCTCAAATGGCAAATGATGTAAAGCATGAGAAGCAAAACTAATGAAGACCATAAGTATGTGAGAAGATGGCAATTAGGGACATCAGGCATCACATGTAAATCTCTCCATGTAACAGTAATTAAATATAACTAAAGCCTAATAAAAAACAACCTTCTCTCAATATATGCACTTGTTTGGCATCAGTCTCCCCCAAGAAACACCAATCAATACTTCTAAGTTTTAACAAGAAGACAAATCCCTCAACAGCCTTTGATCCTCTCCCACTTTCAATGACCTTCACTTTTCAGAAGGAACAAGGAAGTCTTTTTCTTTGTAGAACCCTTTCCCAGAGATAAAAATCGAGCATAAATTAGCTGCTAAATTCAAAAGGAAGGGACACAAACACAGGAAACAAGTTCTCACATTCATTCTCACACTCCTGATGAAACCCAGAGGCCCCTGAGTACTTCATTTAACAACAATAAAAAAAATTAAAAAAGAGATAAATGTACATTAAAAAAAAAATCAAATCAAAACCAAAATACCCAAACTTGAGTAGACTCTGAAAGCATCAACTGAATGAACAGAAAAAAAAGACCTCACAGATCACAACTCAGTTTTGGTTTTAAGGCTGTTCTTTTATCAAATCAGAATTAAACACAAGTTTCTGTTCTAACAGGTGTTTTGTCACAATGGACAAAACAAAACAGAAACCAACACACTGATCCCACAGTCCTGGTTTTCCCTGGTGAGAAAAGGACAATGTAGCAAATTACTTATCAATTTTACATAGGCTTTCATTTTTAAAAGAAACTTTTTGACAAACAGTAGCTCAGTAAGAGCTAAAATCTGTGAGAAAATGTAAGAATTACAGATTCATGTTCAATTGTAAAATGATGTGAAGTTGCCAGGTAGGCCCAGATTATGAAATGATAATTATGAGTCCACACTCTGTCCACGTGAGAGAGCAGCTTTTTGCCTGACATTTGTATTGTTCCCTCAAGGTACTTTCACTAATATTTGATTTAGACAAGTCTAAGAACAAGTTAAATCAGTTCAATCTTACTTTGGGTAATGTAATCTATACATAACAGCAACCTTTTAATAAACATACATAGTCACTGCAGTGTTATTTCATTGCAAACACATTCAAAACTGCATCAGTATCACAGTATGTAAAAAAAAAAATTAAAAAAAAAAATCAAGGTCTACCTTAATAAGATCATTCATGTCAGATTTCCATGAATTTGCTTCCTAAAAAGATAGAAGAAGAGCTGTTGAAACTTTAACCTAAAGACAGATCTGTCAGAGTCAAATCCCAAGCAGGTATTTGATCAGTGTAACTGGGCACAGTGAATTCCCTGACTGGCACAGCTCCCTCCTGCTGGGTTAGAGCACCACCTTCTGTCCTCAGCTCATTCAGCCCTTTGCTTTATGGCAAAGCAAAGGCTCACTTACCCAGGCATTTATTATCTCACTCCACAAACCTCTCAACGATGAGAAGTCAACAGCTAAGTCCCTAACTGACCCAACTTTCCATCTGCTGAAGTCACCTCTGTCTTCCCATTGACCTTTTTCACGAGAGAAAAGAGGTTTCAAACCATTTGTGTCACCTTTGTCTTCCTCCCCTGCCACTCCTCCTCCCATCTCATCCCTTTATGTTGCCTATATAAGGTATGTTACTTGTTTAAGCTTTTAGCAATAGTGGAGAGTAAATATTTGCAACATAAATGGGGCACATGGCACCTGCTCTGTTACTTATAAGAACAGTTAAACATACAACCCACTAAATGCTACAAAATCTATAAAAAAATGCATCATCTGTGCTGTAAGATCTGATGAGTGAAGCTACATTTTCTAAAGATCCAGCAACAGACAACTGGCATGTACTACAAAATATTTTAAGGGAAATAGGAAACCAACAGAATCAGAGTTATCATGTTCCAAACTAATTCAGAGACTTGAATTTACAAGAAGAGAGGACCCCAGCAGTCCTTTTTTCCACATGGAACCAGGTTAACAAACAGATAATTGTCAAAAAAACCCACGTTGCCAGCACAGAACCAGGTTTTGTACCTCCAAAGGTACAAAATAATTGGCCTAAGACACAAGGATGTGTGCCAGGCAATTCCTTGGAAATGGCACTCCTTCCAAAGTGAAGTGGCAAAATGAGGAAAGAAGTGCTTAAGTGATCCCTTAAAGCTGACTGCAGATAAATGGATCACTGTTCTTTCCCAAATGGGAATGTTACATCACCTCTAGTATTACAGGAAGAGAGCAAGCAGAGAACAGGCACTGAAAATATCTGAAACCTTAAAATACACAAGTAAATAACTCCCTTTTTTTCTTTCTCACCTGTTTTATGTCTGGGACAATGGCAGGAAGAGCCTCTACAGTCCAGTCCATCATTCAGGCTCAAATTCCTTTCCCACACACAAAGGCTCCAATATTTCAAGTGATTTTAAACAAATGTTGGTCTTTTTACAGGGGTGGAAGCCAAAGCAACACTTTTACTGACACCAGACTTCTAAGTTTTTCTCCACATTTTTTATTCCCCTTATTGAAACTCCTGGTCATTCTAACATGGATTTTACCTGGAGCATGTTGTGCATTTCTCTTCTCAACTGGCCAAGGTCTTGAACTAAATCATCTGCTTTTTTCACTGTCTTCTCAATTGAACTGTAGCTTTCAAAAGCAGGGACTGGCTCTGTATGCAAAGCATTGTGCCTGATGGGAGAAACACTCCTGATTAAAACTCTCATGGCTCCTCATGTGGCCCAAGAAAGTAGCCAGCTGTGAAACCAAGCATGAATTTAGAGTGCAAGAATACCAAACCTTCAGATAAAGTGGAATTTGCTCTTGCATCTGAACTTACAGAGAGATTACTGGGTTTTCTCTGCTTATCACTTAATGCCTTGAGCTGTATTCTTGTATTTTCAACAGTGAAACTACATTTCACTGAGCAATATTTAAACTTTGGATACCTCTCCATTTGAAGCAAATAACATTTTTGTCCACACTATCACAGATCAGAGAGTATATATGTAGCAGTTTCTCACTGTATTAGTGAAGTTATGACATTACATTATTGCCTGGGGAAAACATGTTTCAGACTGGATGGCTCAGAACATTTTTTCACCCACTCTAAAGCTTAGGAATTCTTAGGTGGCTGCTGCTCCTTCCCACCAAAGTGTTTTCATGGAGCTCCCACAAGCAGGCAGTTCAGAGTCTCACTGACAATGGCACTTGGACACAAAGCCTGCCCAGCTGTGCCTGCACATCTGGCTGCCTGACACAACTCTCCAGGCTGCTACAATAAAAAAACCACATGGAGACAGAAAAACAATCCAAGTGCCACCACTGACCTCTGAAAAAGATGTTATGAACTATCTTAGCAACAAGCCCTCAGCTACCTGCACTGCCACAGAAATCACAGAATTATGGAATATCCTGAGTTGGAAGGGACCCACAAGGATCATCAAAATCCAGCTCCTGGTCCTGCACAGAAAAACCCCCAAAAATCACACCGTGTGCCTGAGAGCATTGTCAAAACACTTCTTGAGCTCTGTCAGCCTTGGTGCTGTGACCAGTTCCCTGGGGAGCTGTTCCAGTGATCAATCAAGTGGGGGAAGAACCTTTTCCTGAGATCCATCCCAAACCTCCCCTGACTCAGCCTCATGCTGTTCCCTCAGGTCCTGTCAAAAGTAATGCAAAAGTAGCACAGAAATACTCCAGTGTTCTACTTTAAGCCCAGCTTTGTCAAGCTCAAGGCCCACACCAGTGACTTTATTACACCACCAATATCTAATACACCTCTCTCAATTTCACTAAAAAACCAAAACCCTTCCTCAGTTTTGGATTGCTATGTTTATTTACCTGTCCCTCTCAGAAAGCCAGCTCATTTCATTGCTGTTTAATGCTGTTTTCTTGGAATACTCATTTTGCCTCAGTGGCATTTCTTGAGAACTTCGAATATGCTCCAGAAGTTTCCTTTCACCTAAGAGAGAAAAAAAAAGAAAGTTCCCTTTTTTTCAATATATTTAATACTTTCTTTTCCTTTCCAGATATTTTCACCACTATCTAATACTCACCAAGGATAGCAAAAATATTTTTTAAATTTAAAAATACAGATCTATTTCAGATAAGGCAAGTCACGTAAAACCACTCACACTGTGTTCCTAAGACTGCTTTAAATTAGCAAAACTAGAGTACAGATGAATGAAACTGGGGTGGCAGTGGACTGAGTCACAGAGAACAAATCTGTGTCATTATGGACAGGATGTTTCTTCCTTTGCCTCATTCCATTTATTCCTGGACCCACTGAACACAACAGAAATACATGACAGTTTTGTAACAGAGACAGAAGAAGCACCTGAGAAGGATCTGATAAAGACACACACAGGCACTTTGTTAGAGCACAATGGCTGCACCCTTTAAATGTTCTTCCTCCATCTTAGATCCTCAAACAATGCTAAACACAACCAACTATAAAAAGATGTTTTATTTTCTTTTGATTAATTGTTCAACCCTGAGTCTCATGCCACTAACCTGATCAAAAACAGTGAAAGAAAATTACTCCACATTTGCTTTACACTTGTTTTCACAACAATAACACAGAGAGCTTGTGGATCCATGAAAAAAAATCCAAAAGATTTCAATTCAACCAGTGATAATGACACAGTTACTGAGTAGCTCTCAAGTTCTACATCATTCTGTCTAATCTTCTTTGAACCTGATAATGAATGGGCACTTCATCTTCCATGTGAGAAAACATTTCAGTGAGCAATCAGGTCAAGATGCTGTAGGTTAGATCAGCACTGCCAACAAGTCTTTAATTAGTTATGAGTGATTTATTCACAAAACTAACCCTCTCCAAATGCATATTCCAAATATTCTCCATATTTGTATCTAAGTGTCACCAAACCAACAGCTCAGAACAGGTGAGGACCACACAAAGTAACCCCCAGGCCATCCTGTTCAGGCCAGTGGAGGACAGGAGTGTCTTACAATACCTTCACTTTTAGCTTTGGGAATATTTTCCTTTTCCATCCCAGAGTTTTCTTTCTGTGAGATTCTCCCATTTTTTGATACAGGCTCTGGGGCACACCTGCGAGGAACTGGTGTCTTCAGAGGAGATGTTTGTGTAGGAATCCCATTACTTGCAAAATGGCTTGAAAATGCTTCAGGGAACACAAGCAAAAGTAGTTATTTAAATGTTAACAATTTTCTTCATAGGAAAAGGTATCAGAGAATCCCAGAATGGTTTGGGTTGGAAGGAGATGATCTTTAATGTCCTTCCAAACCCCCTGCCATAGGCAGGGACACCTTCCACTAGCCCAGGTTGCTCCAAGCCCTGTCCAACATAGTCTTGAACACTTCCAGGGATGGGGCAGCCACAGCTTCTCTGGAAAACCTGTGCCAGGGCCTCACCACCCTCACAGGGAAGAATTTCTTCCTAATATCCCATCTAACCCTGCCCTCTGTCAGTTTGAAGCCATTCCCCCTTGTCCTCTCCCTCCGTGCCCTTGGAGAATCCAGAAAAAAAAAAACCTAGGAAAAAAAAAAAAGCCATGCCAGCTTTATGAATTTTTCATAAAAATGCAAAACATCACAGAATTAGCTAAAAAAGTAAACAGGAAGAACATTTTGTATCTCTGAATGCTATTATTAAGGGAGCAAAAAGCCCCAAACCTAATTATAATATGAACTAGTTCATTACAGGCTCCCACACAGATTATTTCTCAGTAAGATTATTTTAAGTTAAGTCCAGGCCTCTCCTGGTGCAGAAGCACTTAGTAAACCAAAACTCTCAGTTTAATTTAAACTAGAAGAGACTGGAATATCTTCAGAATATGTGGTCTGTTACACAGTACATTAGCCAATAAACCCAATTATACTGAAGGAATGTTTACTACCCATTACTGATGTGTTGTACAATCCAGTATTAATGGAAACAAAATTAATGCAAAACCAAGACTGAAAATAAGGAACTAAGAGTTTGTCTTCACCTTGGGCAGGAGCATCACTGGTAGGAAACAAACCCCTCTGAGACAAAGGCACTTGGTTAGTGAGTGATCTCTGCTCTGGCTGCTCAGGTTGCTTTGTCAGGAGACTGGAGGAGGGCACAGGACTCTGCTGGAACCCACGTGTGTTCACTGCAGAGCTGAGGAGATGAGACTAAGAGACAAAATTACAGAGTATTCCTGAGATATGCTTTCATTTCCCCAAGGAAAAATCGAAGCATGAATAAATACTTGCCATGAAATCATGTTAAGTGGATTTTGACATTCTATTAGGGAGAAAAGTCATTTACAACGACCTCAGAATGCAGACAGGCTTGGACATTATTCTACCCTTCAAAAAGCACACGGGGCTTTTAAATGTAACTTAGTTTTTTAATTTGGCTACTTATTAAATAGAAGTTTCCTCAATTAAATAGAATTTCCTCAACAAAGATCTAAACAGTCTCTCAGAGGGAATGAGAACATTTCACAGTTTTTGCATTTACTTTCCACAGACACAAAGATTAGGGAGGAGGGGGAAGGAGATATCTGGGACAGAAGAAGAAATAAAACTTTTCCCAAAAGCTCTAAACTCCCGAGTTGGCCACTGGATCTTTCTTTCTTTCTTCCTAATACTAAGACATAACCCAAATTATTACAGTATTAACACTGAGATACAGAAGAAATGATTAAAGCTAAAGCTTCTGTATTGTGACTTAAGATACCTGAATATTCATCTGCTGCTCCTGTAGCTTTTCCAGATGCTGAATCCGCTGCACCATGAAAGCATTCATTTGTTTTTCCAGCTCACTGACTCTGTGGTGACAGTGGGGCTTCTCCTTTTGAGCCCTCATATGGGTTTGCTGTTCAGCCACACGCTGCAGGTGTCTGTCTGTCTCCTGCAGTTTATTAAGTAATGCTGAAACTGAGTTCACTTTGGCTTCCAAATCGTTTTGGACCTGCAAGAGAGGATAAAAAAAAAAAAGAAAAAAGAAAAAGGAAGGGGTAAAAACCATACCTTACTGGAGAAGTGGTGCAATCCAGAATCCTGGATTTGCTTCCCAAAAGACACAATTAAAATCCTTGTTAGCCCTAATGTTTGGTGGCTCAGCAATATAACAAATTTTTAAAAGGTAAGTCAAATGGTCTCTGTCCTTTGCCCATTCAGCCAAATCCAAGGGAGTTCTCTCTGGTGTGCTGGTCAGTGAGTGTGAGATTACAGACACACAGAAAACAGGGAGCAGACACAATTCAGGCTCTGGGGAGCTACTACAGACAATCTGAGGCTTGTTTGGAACATCTACTATTTTTAGTGGACAAAGAACTAACACTCCCACGAGCCACTTACTCACCTTGAGGAGTGGGGCTGTGCTGGCAATGGCAGCAGCAGTGGCTGCTGCAATGGTTGTTGCAGAGTCCACTTCCCTGGGTGCTGGCCCGGGGTCATGTCCAACACCTTCCCTTCTCTCTGTGGAGGCATTTCCCAGGAGCTGTACCTTCACCTCCTTAAGTACAGGAGTATTCTGAGCTCTGTAAAAACAAGTGCCTGTCAGTAGCATTGTTTTCTCCATATCCCCTCCAAGCAAATGATTTCCCACACGTAGCACTGCCATCACTATATAAGCTTTTCTCCTTGAAGCTTTCAGCACACATGAAACAAATTTACTCTCATCTTTTAGGATGACACGAGAAATGTCTCAGGTTTATGTTACAGTCCCTAATATAAAAGGCATTTTCCTGTAACCCCAACAAACAATGTGTTTGCAGTTTGTGTTTTGTGAAGTTCAATATTCCAGGTTGGATGGGGCCTTGGAGCAACCTGGTCTAGTGGAAGGTGTTGGAAGGGGGTTGGAACAAGATGGTCTTTAAGGTCCCTTCCAACCCAAATCATTCTGTGATTTTGTGATTCCAGTAGCCAAGTCCAACTAAATTTTTGAGCCTCAGAATTTCCAGCCTACAGATAAACAGCACGTGTCCTTATCTGTCTTTTAAAAATGTTACATGCTTTTGGCACAAGGTGAATTATCTTGCCTGAGTCTTCTATCACGAAATCATTAATTCCAGTAGTCTAAAGGTGTTCTCAAAAATACACAAAATAAACAGTGAATGATACTCCAGTGAATGATAAAATAAACTGAAAACACCTTCACAGACAGAAAAAGAATAGTAACAGAGAACAGTAAATAATACTTTTTTCCTTGCCAGCTAAACATTTTGGCAAAAAATGAAGGGGTATAATTGGATATCTGTAGAGAAACAGAACAGCTGAGTCACTACCAACAGCACATACTTACTTTTGCTTTAACACTGCTCTCAGAGCCTCCTTCTGCCCAGTAGCATATTGAGAAATAAAAACATCATCTGTGGGGAAGGATATAAACAAACTTTGTGGAGCTAACTGACACAAAATGTCTATTTTACAGGTAGAAACAAAGTATTATTTCAATACATATAGTTTTGCTGTGAAGAATCTGCTGCCTGCACAAACCACATCATCTACTGCAGTAACCAATTGTTTCCCTTCACTGAGTTAAAAAACTTAAGTAATGATGAGAGTAAGGGAAGGCTTCATTTAACACAACTTTATATAAGACTGAATGTTGGTACCAATGAAATCCAATAACTGGAAGTAAAGTCTAAAGGGTAACTTGAGCTCAGACAACTCAGTCCATAAAATGCTGCAAATTCTAACTTGAAAAAAATTAATAATAAAAAAAAAAAGGACTGTGATGTGACTATTTCCCTACAGTCATCATAAATTACAACAAATTTTCTCAGTAGCTGCAAATCATGCTAAAAGGACTGCAGGTTCTCCCTCAGCAGAGAAAACAACCCCAGATGTGGCAGGTTTGGAGTTCCTCTGCTGCTGCTGCCACACAGCTTGTACCCAAGTGCTGATAAGCTGCTGCCTGTGAGAGTAAAAGAGGAAACTAAAGTATTGATTTCTGGCCTTAAACAGGGTATTGATTTGTGTTTCTTTTCTCTACACAGCCCCAGATATCCAAGAAACCTGCAAAAGTGTATTTTCTTCAAAAAGTCTTCCCTTCCATAAATCTGATTTGAGCTGGCAGATTCAGAAGTTAAAGACGTTGACATTGTGATTTCTTAAGGTTCTTAACTATTAAAAATACACTTTTAGGGTATAGGCTGCCTGTAGAAAAATATGCCTTTGTAGTACAATTATTCACAACAGGAAAATGCATCCAAGCAAGCCCTTCTCCAAATTCTCTATTCAGAGACATGTTTGATCAGCAAAAAGAATCTCAACATTCTGGTGAACTTGTAGAAGTCCCACTCAGTTAATCACAAGAGCAACTGCAATGCCAGCAAGAATGAGGCAAATTTTGCAAAATTTAAGACTGTAAATTACAATGATCATCTTTTTATCAAAGAAGAATTTTAATATTTTCCCTCAAGAGTTCCCATAATGAAGAAAAATAAATACCTAAGATAAAATTAAAGCTCCTTTTTCCTCTAATTGATCAGTCTTCTCACAAAAAAGGGGCTATATCAGTAGATTGATGTGTCTTACCTTCAGGTTCTCTGCTGTCCTCCAGAAGAAGTGAAGGATCTTCCTGCACTGCAGCTTCTCTAGGAAAATCCTTCAAAAGAAGAGCAGAAAAGGCAACATCACAGCCTTTGCTTTCAGTGGCCAAAATTTTAGAAGTAGATGGAATTGTACAAATTATTACACAAATGGAATCATACCCACACACTAATACAAGGTCTTGGCACAAAACCTGTTACAATCTCCACCAGAGAATCATCTGGACTTGGTAGTCAAGAACTCACGTGGCATTTTAGGGGCTAAAACCTTAGAAGCACAATTCAGATTAAAGCTATATATTTTAAGTGCTGATTAAGTGTATTCTCCTCATTTGTGGCCAAAGAAGTAGTAGTGAAACTATACTTGTGTTAAGTTTAGCCAAATGGCTAATCTCAAACAATACAGGATAACCTCCACAGAGAGAATTAAGTAAGTATTAAAGAATTCCACATAAACTAATGTCCATTTCCTTCCCTGTGATACAAAGAGAAAAAAAAAATTCATGGTTTTAACAAATATTGTGTCATGTGCACCCACCTTTTCAAAGGAGAAATTATACCAGAATTTAAAAACAAGCCTTGCAACAGGCAGTACAGCAAATAAAGCCCCTCCAGACACCTCAGCATTGATATCACGTTGGCAGGAAAAGCAACTGCAAAGTTGTTGTGCAAAGTCTGAGCCAAACATTTGTGATGTTTTTAGAGGAGCTACAGCTTTTTGAGGAAAATGCTATTTAGTTCTCTTAGTTCAGGACTGCAGGAAGCAACAGCAACTTTTCTTACCATTTGGGATAAAAACACGGGCTCTGCACCTTCCACTGGAAGCAGAATTTCTGGATATCCTGTAGTGCTGAGGACTCCTAAAAATAAAAGCAGTTTTACTGTGGTCATAATCACCTGTTGGGCACTTTCACTACAGCCTGGCTGACCCAAATCTCCACATCCCCCTTCTCTTTGAATCCCTAAACATCACGACATTCAAAATAGAAGCGAGCTGAAGTTTATAAACATCAGTGAGTTCTGAGAGCCTGGATGAGAGACTTGCTTTACAGCACGTGAAAAAGTCTCTGAGAAACAGATTATTTAACATCCTTTAAATAGGGAATAAATAGGGATGTTTAACAGGGAATAAACATCCCTGCCCCCATGGATAGGGACACCTTCCACTAGACCAGGTTGCTCCAAGCCCCATCCAACCTGGCCTTGGACACTGACAGGGACAGGGTATCCAGAACTTCTCTGGGCAACCTGTGCCAGTGTTTTACCACCCTGCACAACTCGGCTTTTACGTGCAAAACAGTCTGGGAAAACAAAACAGTCTGGGAAAACAAAACAGTCTGGGAAAACAAAACAGTCTGGGAAAACAAGGCGTGCTGACATTCGCGGGAGGAGAATACAAAGACACCTCAATTATGTAAGTCCTATATGGCTGCAAACACTTCTCAGGGGTTCCAGCACCAGCCTGAGCTGCCCCTGACTGTATCTTATGGTAGATGGAGGTAAATGATGGTAAGGGATGGTAAGGGATGGTAAGGGATGGTAAGGGATGGCAAGGGATGGCAAGGGATGGTAAAGGATGGTAAGGGATGGTAAATGATGGTAAATGATGGTAAATGATGGTAAATGATGGTAAATGATGGTAAGGGATGGTAAGGGATGGTAAGGGATGGTAAGGGATGGTA